ATACAATAATTAAACTACATGATGGATGCTCCGAAATTATATGTCATGCGATTTAATTATAATATTTTTGTTTAGGTGTTAAATAATAACCCTTAATTTTTTATGCAATTTATTGCTAAATGAATGATCAAAATTTAGGTGTGAACAATTATTATAATTAATTAAATCATTAAATGAGAGAGATAAGAGAGGGAGAGAGAGAGAGTTCACCTTGTCTGTCGAAGCCCCAGCAGTCAAAGAGGGCATATTGTACTTGAGTCAACGAACTGATGTGTGGAGAACTGATGATCTGCGCCGAAGGCCATGGGCTGTGCAGAATACTGTTGAAGATTGTCGGTCAAGCCTGACCCAACTAAAACAATTGCGAATCGTCCACTGTCCTCGTGAGGCCGACCTTCTTGCGGATTGGGTTGCCAAAGCCCGTCGAAAAAAATTTCCTTCCTCCTTATTGGTTAACTTGACACCCCCCAAAGCCCATCTGAAATTTCTTGTGTTCGGAAACTTGTTTTGACCGTTCTGCTAGTATTCCTTCATGAACGAAGAAGTTTCGTTTTGACCAAAAAAACAATACACTTTTTGAAAAATGAGGGGCCAATATGTATTGAGTTTTTGAATGCTCCTTAGGCTGAGGAGGGCGCACCTCAGCCTAATGCGCTAAAGCCTGAGGCTCGGGCGCTACACCATGGGGCGCATGCTCCTCCGGATGCGATTCCATAATCTTTCTAGGCCCAATTATCACAAGTTCGAAGTCTGATTTGTGTGATCTTTATGTTGTTGGTATGCACGTAACGAGAGATATGCAACAAGCCCACAATTGAAAGGGTAAATCCAAAAGATCATGGCGCGAATTTCGGGCTCCAAAGTGGGGTTAAAGGCTCGAGTCTATGAATTCAGCATTGATTCAACGGTTCAAGGTTATAAAAACCCATTGTTTACCATGACTTAGAGGTTTGGCAATTCTATTCAATTTGGAATCCTCTCAAGTATTGTTTTAGGTATAGGGACGATGTTCAGGTACAAAGAAAGTATAACCGAGATTTGATGGGCAATAACTTTTTCATCCGAGGTCTGGCTGAACATATTTTTTATTGAGTTGAAATGGTTGATGCCTCTACTTCCTTAACGTTTTCTTGAAATCGCAGGCTTTGCAACACCACGAAAAAAGGGGTGATTGCTCTCGGACTGTCACAAAATGACTGTCATCTTCAAATGGCAATACAAATATGAGATGTCTCACTTTAACGAGAATAACCAATTTTTGAGTTTGAAAAATTGTTTTGCACCTTGTAGCTCATCGATCAAATCTTGGTCGACTCTAGGTCAATTACTTGATTTTGGGAAAAAGCAAGGTAACATTTGAAGTGTCAACAATTCTTATCTCGTCCACTTTTTTAGAACCGATTGGATTTCGACAAGAGTAATGGCAACAAGGACTCTAGGCAAACTAACACATTTTTCGAAAGTATAGAGGCAAAGTGTTAAGACATAAATTTTGATAACCCAAATAGTATGAAGTGCAAATATCAAATGCAAAAGTGGTTTTTTTCCTCCTCTTTTTTGTTTTTTTTTTTTTTGTTTTTGAGGGATAGGGCTCGCTGGATAGCATGTGTTGCATGACAAGAACACAGTATGAGATCAAAAAACAAATTACAGAGAGAAATCCAAATCCGACACGACATTATACGCATAACCCATATGTATACTTGAATGACACTATTTCATCGTAATTCAATTATTTGGTAAATAAAATCTAACTTATGAGGGTTTATACATACCCCAATATGAGAAATCAATTCGAATTGTTGAGCCCTACATAGCAAGAATTCGTGTTTCGTCTAGTGCCAAACATAACAAGTCACATGTTTCTCCATTATTGTCTTAATACCAGAGGGCCATTATCCGAATCCTAGGGCCGAGACAACTCCAACTCAGCTTCACAGGGATAAGGGTCAATAATGTTACGTGAATTGAATTGAAGTGTTCCAAAATGGCCTTCAAAGTCCAAATAGCATCATGATTCATGCAAAGCTGGACCACAATTCAGTCTGGAATATGCATCAATGATTTTTTAAGATCTTGTTGAAGGGAAAACGACACAAATGGTCCCTGAGTTCTGATTCAATGTGAAATTAGGTCCCCGAACTTTAAATTTATTCAATATAGTCCCTGAAGTTTAGCTTAATATGTAATATGGTCCTTGAATTTTTAAATTGTTCAATTTAGTCCACTGACTATATGAAAATGTTTAATATTGTCCTTGCACTTTAATAAATGGAATGACAACATTGAACATTTTTGTATAGTTCAAGAACTAAATTGAACATGTACAAAAAATTCAATAATCATATTGAACAAATTAAAAGTTTAGGGATCACATTACACATTATGCCAAATTTTAGTGACTATTTGTGTTGTTATCACTTTGTTGAAATATCTTTAATGCAGAAAGTGTCCTCAGACCTGTCGGATGCAACACTTAGTTGCAATCTTAAGGATTCATTGATTGTCATCGATGATAGAACTTGTAATTAGCCTCAATCGAATGATTCCTGTTGATTTCAATTTGGGTGATCGACGTTGATTATCAATGCCCGAGAAAACGATAGATAGGAGCAGTACTGGCAATGCAAACTACTGTCCACGATGACATGGGTCATCCATGTCAATCTCCGATTTTCAGTCAAGAGGTGAATTTTCCAATTAATCCAAGACAGTTGAGATGTAAGACATTACGCATCAAGGAGGCAAACTTGGTGCATGTAAATCTTCGAAAAGCTAGTGACGACGTCTGGAAATATCTATTTTACAAAGGAGCAAAACCCTCCAAAAGACAATCTATGTGATTGGTGTGATCATCAAGAAAATCACAAATGAAGAACCACAAAGGGTGCCCATCATGTGTCATGGCCCACGCAAATTTGAAACGTTAGGAGCATCATTTCATGGAGATAAGCCAGCGTAGTTTGATTTTCCAAATCGCAAATCGTTGAACCTAATGAGCTCAACGTATGATGGTCACCCACCACACAGGGTAACGGCGAAAGGCACCAAGAAACAAAGCTGATGGAAGACGCTCCCCCAGGCCCCCACCAACCAATAAAGAGCAGGCCACGTCAGCCGTGGGAATCTGAGATGCCCACTAAGGTTTCGCCACGTCATCGGATAAGAAACCTTTGCTAGAACATCCTGAAGAGTCACTTGCTAACGTGACGTTGGCGACGTAATTGGGAGTAATTCCATGCCTTATAATTTTCTTTTTCGTTGGCAAAGGGATTAGAAAAGGCAACCAGCACTAACAATCTGGTTTACGATAAAGCCCCACACTCGTTATTGAATAGGGTTAATATCACAAAAAATTTCAAATTGATATATCTGTGATAAATTATCCTAAACTAGTAAAATCACAAACTGGTACACCCGTAACAAATTTACCCTCAATTAGTATCCGTTAAATTTTACTGTCAAATTACTAAGTTAAATGACACTTGACAATTGATAGATGTACTAATTTTGGGATTTTACCATCCGTTTGTCACAAATGGACTAGTTTATGGTTTTTTTTGTATTAATCAAATTTAACCGAAGGTAAATTTATCATAAATATACCAATTTAGGGTTTTTGGTGGTCAAAAAATTAGTTTGAGATAAATTTATCATATATGCACCAGTTTGGAGTTTTTCGTGGTATTAACACTATTGAATACTTGGTCCAAGACATAATGACTTTGCACGATCGGGGACAACCTTTTTTGAGTTTTCGATGCATAGGCCTTGCATTTGTGACTTGAATACCACATTAAGATGTTTCACATCACAGATTTAAGATTTCTAAAACTTTAAGTTTTGTAATAAGCCTGTATGGAGTTATCTCACAAGAAAAGAAAATTAGTAAGATTTTCGAAAAGTTTTGGTATAGAGGGAATGTTGCACTAACTCTTGATTTTCAAAGGTTGATTGACGGAAACATTGATATAAAATCCGACAGATCTCGGACTCCAATCATGGCATCTCTCACTTAAGTTATTTGCGTTCCACGCTTGCACCCAGTAAAAGAATTTTATTTTCCATGTTACATTGATAAAGCAGTTTACATTCACTTGTGAAGATTAATTGAGATGAGATTTAAATAAGAAATATTATTTGAAAAATAATAAGAAACCTCGCTAACTTTTTCCCATTTGCAACATGGTCCGCATATTTTTTTTTCTGTAAGTAAAACGAGGTGAGGAGGGTTGACCAGCAGTTGTGATCCCCTTTTGCCGTTAACATAAGAATCTCATACTTGCTATAGAATATTTAGATTGAGCTATAACTATCCTGCATCACTTGTCACCCAAAAATTCAAGATTAACGAGTACGTCCCAAGCCCTACCGAGGTGCTATCTGTGAGAAGATCTCTCCATACAAATTATGTCGCAGTTAGGCAAGCTAGTACGACTAATTCCAAGATTCGATCACGACGTGATAAGAACCCGTAAATGTATCGAACTTGTAACTTTACAAACGACAGCCGATCCCTTTGCTACTGGTCGGTCAATCCGGTGGTACGGGGTAGCAACTTTTAGTCAGGGCCGAAGTATTCCTAGTACTCAAGTCAATAAAGCATATATAATCTAGCACACCAAAATAATTATTCTCCTGGGTGGCTTGAGCCCCTAGGTGCCACGGTAGGTTTTCATAATTCTTTTTACAGAATTAGCACTACTTGCAAAATAAGGTTCAAATATCGATACATAAATTCACATATATTAATTCAAATGTTCTGAATTTCGACCGAAGAATACAAAAATAAGTTTTGCTCTTACTTGACAAACACAGCATCATTATTTTTTCCTCTTTAATTCTCAGCAAAAACAGCATCAGTTTTTCTGTACCAGCGACAAAGTCGGGGCATGATGGACTTAATAATCTAGTAGATGAGGACGATAAAATTATTGAACGGTGTGGTCCACACCGTGGGAGCCACTGAAGCAGAGCCTTGTCCCTTCCTCTGTCCTCATCTCCAAAGACTCGAAAGAACATTCAAATCGCACTACGTTCGTATGCTCCAAAAACTCTCTGATTTTCCTCACTCCTCCTGCTCTGTGTATCTTGTGTCTCTGTCTGTATGTGCTCGTGTCCTCATCAGATCAGTAAGGGGAGTCATGAGAATGATGATGGTGATGAGAACAAGAACACCCAATTTGTGAATTTACCTTGGGAGGGCCATAAGTTCTCCATTTCGACTGATCTTTCAGCCGGCTCCTTCTCCCTTTCGTCTGCTCTCCCCTCGTGACCATTTCTGCATAAACTCTCTCTCTCACGCGCCAGCGCGCCCACATCTTTGTTTGCGCTCTAGATTTCGACCGGCTCGCTGTCTCAAGTTCCATGTGGGTGTGCCCTCCCTCCAATTATAGAATTTATGCAGGGTGAAGTTGCATGCTCTTCGTTCATTTTGTATAAGCCTTGCCTTTATTAGCAAGTGGCACTCTCATTAAAGTTGTTTGGTTCTAGGCTCCCCCCTCCTTGTTCTTGCCAACCAAGTATGTTTTTGTCTTGTACTTCTTGTTGGCTATTCTTTCTGGGTTTAGGGTTTTAGGGGCCTCTCATTCCCAAACTTGTCATGCCTTTCTCATAGCCATAGCCAAAGCCGAGAACCAAGAACCAACCAGAGACCCAACCAATTCAAAGTCAGCCTCAGTTTTTCCGACCGACCCAATTCAAAGTTCTCACATGCAGATTAAGAATTCTTGCTCTTCTGTAACTCAGACATAGCAAGCAACAGTTTTTGGGATTCCTGTTCTGACCTCACCGGCCGCCGCGATGTCTTCGTGCTTGAGCGGAGGTGGCAGGACGTACCAGTTCGATCTGGAAATCATCAGCAAGTCCCGTTGGGTATCGGCGTCTCGAGCATCGTCGCCTCCTTCTTCTTCGTCTTCGCCTGCTTCGACTCTCTCGGAATCAAGCAATTCTCCAATCTCAATCTCCACCAGAAGAACACGCACGCCACGAAAACGGCCGAATCAGATTTACAACGAAGCGGCCGCTCTGCTCTCCACCGTCTACCCCAACATCTTCTCCGCTAAGCATCTCGAGAAGCCCCGGAAATTCGCCAATTTCGAGGACTACTTCTCCGATGAATCCTCCGATTTGCTGTTACCTCTTCCGGGCTTTGAGGCGGCCAGCTTCTTACTCCGCCAGCCGGTTCCGGCCAAATCGGATCCCCGAATCGAGCCGAAGTGTTCCCCACGGTTTCCTGAAAATCAATGCGGCAACATCAAGAGCATATCGAAGTCGCCCCAATTGGACGATGAGTTCAACGACGGCGACGAATTCGATGCGGAATCAATCCTCGACGAAGAGACCGGCGAAGGAATCGACAGCATCTTGGGGAACCTGAGCGCGAGCGCCGCCGCGAGCGACGAAGCCGAAGCGACGGCGAGCTACGGGATTCCAGTTGGGTTGGGGTTCGGGACGAGGAAGGGGATCAGGCCGCTGAAGCGCGTCGGCGAAGCAAGCTGGTGGAATTTCTCCACTGTCGACGTCGTCGAGATCTCTCCAAAACTCAACAACAGAGCATCGGATTCGAATTTGGTGGATAAGAAGCAGAAGAACAAGAACAAGAAGAAAGCTGTAAAGACTCCGCCGCAACCGAAAACCCCTACGTCGGCGGCCGCCTCCGCCACCGCCGCAGCGAGGGAGCAGCCGAAGTCCGGCGGCTTGATGCTGAAATTGAATTACGACAGCGTGTTAGATGCTTGGTCCCGCTGTGGCCGGTCTTTTTCCGGCGAGAGCCCCGTCCCCGACGTGCCGGTGAGTGTCTCTCTCCTCTCCCTCCCGCCGGGAAGTCGTTGAAAATTAGGTGGGATTAGTTCGTTGAAACAGTGGAAATTACTTACTATCTTTGGTATTCAAGTTTGGTAGCGCGTGTGTCGAAATTAGTAAGTACAACTCTAATTAAAGTTACTGACATTTGTTTGTTCATTTTATTACACATTGTGTCACGTGAATTTGGTGGTTTCGTTCTAGTTTGAAATGCAAATCGCTTCACATTTTCGAATGTGGGCGCCGAAGAAAAACTGGTGGAACTATCAAATTTGGGGAGGTAGTCCTATATTCATTTCCTTATGCTTCAATTTAAATTTTGTTATCAACGTATACATTTTTTTTACTTTGACGAGAAAATAAAAAGTTATATTTTTGTTGTTTCGAAGTGCAAGCATACGAATCCGAATTTTAAAGGATTAATGACATAATTGATCCTTGAATTTTGGGTCAAATGTGCAATGGGGTCTCTGAACTTTTAATTTATTCAATATGGTCCCTAAAATGTAACCCAATGGGTAATGTAATCCCTGAACTTTTAATTTGTTTAATATGGTCCTTAGACTTTTGGTACATGTTTAACTTAGTCCCTGAGCTATATGAAAATATTCGATATTGTCCTTCCATTTATTCAAATTCCGAGACTATATCGAACATTTTTATATAGTTCATGGACTCAATTGAACATATACCGAAAGTCGAAGGACCGTATTGAACAAATTAAAAGTTCAGAGACCGCATTGCAAATTGGGCTACGGTTCAAGGATCACATTGAACGAATAAAAAGTTCAATGACCACATTATATATTGACCTAAAGTTCATGAACTTTTCGTGTGGTTTTCCCAATTTTAATAGTCATAGCGTCCTCTGGCTTCACCTCCATGGCTTTTGCTTCCACGTGGTAACCCAAGTTAGCCGGTTTCGGCTTTTCCTTTGTTTAGTTTGGACCTAATCGTGCCGGCTCCTCTCCAATCCGACGGCCTAAGACTAGCTTGGTCCTTAAACAAATTGGCTCCTATTCTTACATAGATAAGGGCCACCCGTACAAACTTAATTTCACGCATGCAAATAATTTCATGTTTGTGTCATCCATCGGAATTTCGGCTTGGGTTGTCCTTGAAATGGAGTTACTTCTAAGACGGAATTTCACGTCGAAAGAAGTATCACAACGAATGTGTTTTGTGCCCGATGCTGGTGATGCCGAACGATTGCCGAGCCAATGTTCTTCATGCTCGAATTATTTTCGGGACAGGCCGGGCTGGCGGATTTCGATTCGTTTGCGAAGAATGGAACGGAGAGGGAAGGCACGGGGCCGCGCTGCAAGGAAAAGCGTCCTGCACGCCTCTTCTCCAAGAAGGTCGAGTTCCAGGTCAAGAAAGCACACGCCAATGAAAGGCCGAGAGTGAAGGTATGTTTACATATGTTAGGCATATGTTAGGCATCTTGACGGCTTTATCGGCTTCGGTTTCTTCGTTTACATATGTCGTGGTTAGGTTACAACTTCTCTAACAATCTATAACACGCTATGCGTGCGTTTTCTATTTTCGTCAAGTCTATGGATGCGTTTATTTCGCGGAAAACGAATGATTTCAAAAATATTATCAAAAAAATAATCATTTGAATCGTTTATAAAAATAAATGAATGAACAATATTTTCATCATTAATGAAATTGTTTAGACATAATTTGTTGTCGACATTTTACATTGGCTAATCATTTCAAGTGATTCGAGAAATCATCTTTTTGGAAAATGTTTTCCAAACCATTCATTTTCCACTTAACAAACAAAACATACTTATCATCACAGACCCGCAATTCTTTTTCCTATCAAAGAGAAGTGCTTTAGTACAAAAAAACCCAACGATCAAATAATTAATGCTATTTTTTTTAAATGAATTATAATTGACCACTTTCGAGGACGACAAAGATATATTGCATTCATTCATTTTGTAAGCGATTATTTCTATAAAAAATATGTTTCAAATCACTCATCTCGTGCTTCGTCGCTTTACAGGGGCGTTTCGTGAGAAGGCCAGATTCAAGCGGTAGCGACCCAAAATGATGGACAAGTCCAGTTTGGCTGAGAATCATCAACAGTTTTGGGCCCTCTTCACATCCCATACTCTCTTTTTTCTTATAGTTGTCATTGAGGGTTCGGGAGTACATTCGATGAGTTCAAAACGAGATACAAATTTGGTCGAGCAATTTCAATTTGAAGCTCGTGATGTTTCATGATGTCCCCTATCACCATCCCCTTGGATTTGAGATGAAGCTCAAATTTTGATACTCCGCCTACAGAAAAAAAAATAATCTGGTCTACGGTGCCGGAGCAGTTCGTCGCCGTAGCTGTAGGTCGGAAAATCCATGGCCAAAAGCAATGGCGAATGCTTCATCGAGTTAGCCTATGGTGACGAATACATACATTTCGTTGCCGCATATTGCGACAGCGGCGATGAAAGATTTATTTCGTCGCTGTTGATACCCGACTTTCGACGGAACGGTAACAACATTAGCAACTGTCCAGCTTATTCGATGCGGTTGTCGACTGAGTTTCCGCTGTTGCCAAGCTATTCTTCGTAGTCGCAAGTTCCTCCTTCGCACCCCCTAACTCCACCGTTAGCAACTGCTCCCCCTGAGTTGCGCAATTGAGATGAGCCATCTACCCCGATCTTCTGAGGAGCCTTGATGCTGTGTCCGACCCCGCAAACGTATCCAGACTCGCGATCCGACACGGCCTGCATGATCCCTCCTCTGCTAGGGGCCATCTCGAGATCGGTGGTCAGTTGTCACTGAAGAACTACTGAAGCGACGAAACTTCTATGTTGTCGCCTTAGAGCGGATAAGAACAGACTTTAGTCGACGAAACTTACGTTTCATCAGGAGTGCAGCAATGGCTACGAAACCAAAAGTTCGTTGCTTTTGGTATGAGCATTGGCGACGGAAAAACAAAGTTTTCGCTGCTTTTGGTTCGATTAACAACGACGCACGTTCGTTCTCGTTGCCTTTGATAAGACGGGGGACCTAATCGAAAGCGGTGAAACTCGTCGCCGTTGCTCCATCGTGGAGCGACGAAATATCAATTTGCGATTGAGATCCCTTAAGATAGGAGGTCCTCTTTGCTTTAACTAATAGTATAGATCATGTATTCGTTTTTCACTATTGCAAACGACCAAATTATGCATCTACATTTTGGCACTCCATGAGATCTCTTTAGGGACACAAAAGTTGTGCCATGCATACAAAAGAATGCACAAGGTGTCAACTTTCATAATTAATGGAACGAAGAATATATGTTGCATAATGATAATAATATAGAGCCATACGAATCCATTGCTCTCTTCAATGATACATACATACAAACATAACAAGAAAAAAGTTTAGCTCTCTTATTAGCTTTCGCTACAATGAAATTGATGCCCTGCCCATCTGACGCGCCACCTCCGTTTACCTGGAGAAATAATTTCGAGGAGAGAAGAGGCGCCGCGGTGAGAACATTCCCGCGTGCCTCGGCGTGGCAATGCCGTCGATGGATTGAAAATTGGGCATGGCGAACCCTTCCCTATCTTCTCCGTTAGCCCGCCTGCTGCTATTCCCATTAAACGTGCCGTACCTCACCAACTTTCCAATCCACGATTTCTTCTTTGGTGGGCTTTCGTAGCCGGCACTCATCCGTTCGCCCAGGTACTCCTTCACCGCATGCAAGCCTTGCTCCATGACCTCGGCCGGGGGCGAGACGAGAGGGTTCCCATCGACGCAGAGCTTCTGGAGCTTCCTGAGGCACCCCATGGAGTCAGGCAGGGCCGCGATCCTGTTGTAGCTGATGTCAAGCTCTACGAGGGAGAGTAGGAGCCCGATGGAGTAAGGCAAGGCTTGGAGGTGGTGGAAGTTCTGGCTGATGTTGAGGGTTTGAAGGTTGATCAAGTTCTCAAGGTCGTCCGGAAGCGTGCGGAGGCAGTTAAGGCGGGCGTCGAGGACACGGAGAGAGGTGAGGCGGGAGGTGGAGCGAGGTAGGTGCGTGAGCTTGTTCGAGTTGACGGAGAGCTTCTTGAGGTTGACGAGCTCGAAGCCGATGGAGTCAGGTAGCTTGCTCAGCTGGTTGAAGTTGGCATTCAGCTCTTCTAAGGATCTAGGGAAAAAGCGTTTTTATAAATGAGTCATTAACGAGTCAATCAAAATGTCAATGATGCGGACCGAGTCCATCTAAACCGTTCATCGTGTAAGCCCCACGATGTCAACCACGTAGTTAACAGATAAGATGAGGTCGGTCCACACGGCCCGAAGACGATGAAAATGATTGGTGGAGAGAGACGACGAACCTGCAATTCAGAATAGTGGCCGGGAGGGAGACAAGGAGGTTTCCGGCGACGTTCAAGAGCTTGAGCTTAGAGAGGCATCCGACTGAGTTCGGGAGGGCCTTCAGCTGATTTGAGTGCACATCCAACACCGCCACGTTCACCAGCCTCGCCGCCAGCGGCTCCGGTATCGTCTGTGTGTCCATATATGCAAAGCAATCCCCTATTACTGACCTCAGCTTTTAGCAGGGTCTTGTGAATCCAGCTTATTTGACAAACGGCGAAGATTACACAAGACAATGCAATATGAGCTACGCTCGCATGTACCGAGAATGCTCAAGTCGTATCTTTTTTCCAAATTATGAGGATTCACTTATATCAAATGTTGTCTGATTGGCTTTCCTGGGTCTAACCATGTTTAGTTGGAGGAATTATATGAAGTCCACATAACTTTAGGCGGTCACCCTTTTGACGATCGATAAGTGATTAAATCTACTTACTAGTTCAAAGTACATATATCATTCACTCAAGGAGAATCGATAATAGTTGCCTTTTTCCAGTACCGCCATAGTCGAGTCGAATCTAGTATAAGTGAATATGAGCATTATGTTTGGCCAAAGAAAGTATGCTAGAGCCGCCTCTCAAAAACCAACTCATAGTGGGAATGGCCGTTAGGACCATCACGGCTAGTCGGCCCGGGCCACCATCGAGGCCTTGGAAGATCTCACGATGGCTCGCGACCTCTGATTGCGGGCCGGAAGCCACAGTCAGATCACGTGCCTCAGCCTTGCCGATGGATCGAGGTCGTCCATCGCAGCTCGAGGTCATGAGGTGTAGTGGAGGCCATGGCCATGGATTGGAATTATTAAGTGTTGGGGCTCGGTCCAGGGTGCAAAGATGCATATCTAAAGACAGAGGATGCAAAGTTGTAGAACGATAGACTGGAATAATTAGAAATGGCATGGAAATGGAACGACAGATGGATGAATTTACGTTTTTTGTTGAATCTTTTACTTAGGTCCACCATAAAACAATTGTCCAAATCCAATGAAAATATCATCATGATGTACTAGGATAATTCTCTATAACATATACCCTATTATCTAAAGCGCAAAATCGACGAAGATATTGACCCTAAGGTTTACTAAAAAGTCCCATTAAAGTCTAGGCATGCTATCGAAGAACAAAAGATAACGATTCAATATTGTTTGACGAACGAAATAGTAATTTGAAATCGTCAAAAAGATGATGTCATCGCTACAAATTATTCCCATTTCAATTTAAATGCATAGGTTCTCATATCTTTCAAACATTTAGGTAAATTGGTAAACATTTAAAACTTTTCACTTTCAAATTTACACGCATGCATGTATCGAGAAAATATTGGGTAGGCCGGTCTCTCCACTTCAGTGTCGGGGCCGGCCCGATCTTTTTTGTTTCTTTTTTTGGAGGTGGGCATGAGAGAGAGAGAGATAGAGATATGCTAGTGTTATCGTTGACCTGAAGATTGTTGTTGGAGAGGTCCAACTTGCAGATGATCCCCAGATCGAGAGAAGGGCTTGGAAGAGAATCCAGCGACAATCCGCTCAAATCCACGATTTCCAACCTCTCTTCATCCACCGCCGCCATCTTCCGCCTCGCCGCTGCCTCCCGCTCATCCCTTGCCGTCTCGATTCTCGCGGGCTGTTGCTGCTCGTAGTACATCATCTTCACACGATCTCTTTCTCTTCTTCCCTTGTCTTCCAAACAAAATAAAGCTCGATGCGTCTCTGCGTGCGAAAACTGCCTTCGGCATTGAAGGCAATGATATAGATAGATACGATACATGCGATCTAGTGGAGTGGAGGGATGTACGGAGATAACCCACCACGTGTACTTCAGGTACGAGCCCTCCTGAATGACGTCAACCACAATCCAAATTTGCAATTTCCTTTTTGTGGATAGATTGAATTATATTGGCCGTTGCGTCGTCCAATTGCATTAGAAATTTTAGATGCTCTCAAAGCACGATGGTCGTATCCAGTCGAATGAATTTTTCTCAATTAAGAAAAAGTAAATCATATGCGCCTATGTGGCAATTGATTTTAAGTGCAAAACAAAGTAAAAGATGTTTTCTAAAGACAGATAAAATTATAAACATGTGTGAACTCATGTGACGTAATATTAAGATGCAAATGTTAGATAATTTGTATTTTAATTTATGGTTGCAAGCATTCCTTCCCCAAATGTGTATGCTTGTTGATTCTGTTAAAACTTTTTCTCTACTTTATTGTTGGCTTCCAATTTGTATATGAGGAACGCTAGGAATGATAGAGTCGACATTTAAAAAATTGATTTACAAAGTGGCGTCATAAATTCGTATTGGGTATTTAATGGGCTCACTTGCTTAGACTTTCACTTATAATTTGACACACCACTTAATAAGTCGATTTGTGTAACAATCTTCGCTAAAATCTTCTGCACGCATCCACGATTACTTTCGTCTCGTATATCTCTTGTAAAAACTTGCTACCATACTGATGCAAAACAGCTTTTTCATCATGCTTGTGACAGTATTACATGAATTGGGACAAGCCCTCTACAAAAGCAAACAAATAATGGAAAGAAATGGATAACTTACAATTAAAAAATTGGGCTTAATCGAAAATTAGTCCAAAAAGTCATAAATCTATTGTACTTTTGCTAAATCAGTTATAAACCTTTTAATTTTACCAATTAAGTCCATCCCGCCAATTTACCTCGGAAAATGCTTGCATGGATACCTAATCAGCGCCAGCCATCCTACGTGACCGGACCGGCACTGACGTGGATGTTGGAACTCAAAATGATTTTTTTCTATTTCAATGCAGAAAAGATCAAAACCCTCTTTGCCCCAAATAAAAACCTGAAAACGGTATACATCAAAACATCCCAAATCAGTTGCTCGCCCCTAAAAAAGCCATG